TGTGAAAGACTTGAAACAAGGCTGAATTCTTCGACGCCTTCACATTTATATTTGGCTGGGAATAAACAAACCAAGCTGGTAATTTGTGGTAACAATTGTTAACTATTCAATCTCTGAAGCACTTTTTGAGAATAAAAACCTTGTGCATTTTGACAGAAATCATGATTTTAAAAAAATCTTCTCACAGATAGTTAGATGCTGTAGAGTGACAGAATTTACTTACCAATAGAAAATGGGAGCAGACCCACCTTTTTCCAAAGCCTCTTGAGAATGAAGCAACTCCCAACTTTCTCTCGCAATCTTAAAGTTTTCAAGTACATCAATGGAGTTTGGCAGCTCAATCTTATTGACAACAATATGACGGCTACGTCCTTTTCCAGAACATTCTTCATCATCTGAACTCTAAAATAAAAAGTGAAACAAAGTTAGCTTGCTTAAAATGTAAAATTACACTAATTGCTTAAAATTTAAGGAGTTACCTTTATTCACCAATTTTCTCCCTTCCAGATAAATTGTCACTCTAGGAGAAGTCAATCAGTCATTCTATTCTACCACACCCAAATTGTTGTTCTGTATGTGTGAACCTAGCACTGGACATTCCCAGACTACATAACTGTGAAGAACAAGACTTATCATGAATGTGAATCTCTTTATCCCTAGCCAATACTTTATACAGAAGTCTAACAGGAATCACTGGATCCATCTCTCTCAAACCAGAGTCTGTAACATATGCAGCAGAGTTAGGCAGATTGTCTCTCAAAGGACAGCATGCATGAAGCAGCATGGAGTTTGGCAGAAAAGTCTTCAGGCAGACTGGTGGTGGCTGCCAAGTAAGTTTAGCCTTGATCGAAAAGGAGAGTTTTAAATTACTTAAACTCAAAGAAATGACACCAAAATACTAGACAACAAGGTGCAGGGCTGGATGAACACAGCAGGCCAAGCAGCATCATAGGAGCAGAGAGGCTGACGTTTCGGGCCTAGACCCTTCATCAGAAAAGGGGGAGGGGAAGGGGGTTTTGAAATAAATAGGGAGAGAGTGGGAGGCGGATAGAAGAGGGATAGAGGAGAGGATAGGTGGAGAAGAAACAAACAGGTCGAAGAGGCGGGGATGGGGCCAGGAAAGGTGAGTGTAGGTAGGGAGTTAGGAAGGGGATAGGTCAGTCCAGGGAGGAC